CAGTTATAACTTCTGAAGCTGTTGGGCCTGATGGCATTCCGCGTCTCTGCTTAGGTGTTCATTGTTTCATTAGGCGAGATGTGGAAAGGATTAATTTAACGGATTATATGCAATATGTTGTACAAAAATCAGCATAAAAGTGAATGTCTAGCGCTGGCTTCTCCTTTCTTAAAGGGGAACTTTCGCATGACTTCCGCCGGACTTCCGGTTCTCAGAAGACCAGTCGCCGGGAACCGGAAGCGATTTCCAAAATTGCGCGAATCAACTCGGAATGTGTTGCGCCAATCAATCACTGCTCTTTTGGGAGAGAGAGAGAGAGGTTTCGGGCTCGAACATTCTGCGGAGGTTCAAATGCCACCGATATTTTGATACGTAACGCTATTTTTGCATACTTTCGTATCCGAGTTTTTATATGGCAGCATTTTCTCGCTGATCATATTAATTGATATACCAATGATGCAGTATTGAAAGGTCTACCCTTCAACATACTAAGTTTTTCTCGTACAAACGTTTTGTGTTTTATTGAAGTATAGCAAAGTTTTTGCAGAACAACAGTTTGTTGTTTTTTGGCTTTGACAGTTTCACTGTTGGACAAAAATGATGTGTTTCACTGTTTGAAATGCCGGTAGTTTTTAAGCCGTACAGAAACGTATTCATTCGCCTTCTTAACAGTTCTCAGAATTGGCTCTTAAATAACGGATAGTATACTTCCTCATCTTCATCTTCCAACGGATAGTATACTTTCAAAATTAAATTTGTAAAAATTGTAACATTAATAATTTTCCTTCGACTAAATGTAAAAGTGAGTGAAAGATTTCGTTTCCAGTTGAGTACAAATCGGATAGCATTGAGCTTCGGTATTTGTTAATCAAGTTCGCTTGTTAAACGATACTCCTGACGACAAAGGGAAAAACGACACATGGCAGGGGAAACGATTGAATGGTTGTTTTCCAGTCAATACCGAATCGAGTAAACCTGGATTAAATCCGGCATTGCAGTGCTTACCTGCTCGAGCTCTTCTGTCAGCGAACTATTTTCCTTTGTGCTGTCATTTTTCCATTATTGTATGTACCGTTGCTGTCGTATGAATGCCTTATTGTTGATATGTACCAACTCAACAAAAACAATACCAAAATTATCGTAAAATTTCTATAAGAATTTTTTTCGTTAATTGAAGACATTGTAATAGGCTGAAAGATTTTCTTACATTGTTAATCATTAAGGTCACATTCAGTGGGAGCACAGATATGCGCATATTCAATCGACTAGAGCAAATTCTATTTCTTTTTCTGCATTGTGGTATTGACTTGATGATGATTCAACTGCACTTTTCACTCCTCTGAAGCAGGAAATCAGGTTTTGGTCATTGAAATTAAAGTTTTAATTATTTTAGTATTTCTTTTCATAAGTTTGAGTAACCGTTCAGATAATCTGACTCACAGTTCCATACGATTATCTTCGAAGTAGCTTTCTTTTGTACAATTCTGATCTAGATAAAAATACTATTCTTCAAAATCGTCCTATTTTTAGCGCAGCTGGATGCTGTTAAAATGTACAACCTCTTGATTATTTTCCTTTAGTTGACTCATTTCTGTAAATAAGAGGAATCGCATGTGGCGTGGCGGTTGTTACTCTGCGAGTCCGCATTATTGCCCCGTATTAAATCATTCTGTAGAGCATCTGACGTTATTGACTTTTGAAAGTTTTCTAGATGCACCAGAAAGGGCCATTTACTTCATTGGTCTGGTGGACATATTGACTTATTATGGTGTTAAGAAAAAAACCGCAGCTGCTGCAAAGACCGTCAAGTATGGCCCTGAAGCGGAGATTTCTTCGGTTAAACCGCAGCAGTATGCAAAACGCTTGGTTGACTTCGTTGTCAAAGCTGTGAACTGTGAACAAAAGACTGTCGCCGTCTCCACCATTGCTTTTTGATGAATTACACGTCAACTAATATGCTTTTTTCGTTGCAGATAATCTTTATGTAGCTACAAATGTTCGTTTCGCCGTCCTGCCGCCATACGCTGTTTGAAACTGTACTGTATTTTTTTTCTCCAAGCTAGCTGAAGGGTCGCCGGCCTTTCAGATCTACTTAACTATCAGTTTCCTATCAAAACCAGCGAACTACCTTAGAAGAGTAACTGTGACGAAAATATATCAGTCATTCCTGATTTTCATGCCGTATTTATTCATACATTGCTGTTGATCGTGATGGTGTTATTTTATTTGATTGTATTTTTTATGAAAGTCGTTTAATGTTCTCACGCTTTTGATCGACTTTCTGTTGCAGATTCACGGTGTTGTTCTGCAGTGATTTCTTGGGCTGTAGTTTTGTACTTTCTCCCAATAAATTTTTCATTCACTCAGTCTTCATTTCTTTGAACAAACGATGAGACCATAAATTTTATTCTTAGGAGTACTGCTATGAATGTTGCTGTTTTCCCTCAGCTGCAAGGGTGCGACCTATAGCAAATATTTACTGCAATAAGAGCTGTCAGTAAAATATGTATTTCACATTGAAAATAGTGATACCGGATTGAAATGGTGAAAATGCACAAATGTAAAATGTACATTTTCCTTGTAAAGAAAGGAAAATCTGTTTCTCGCCAGAGTTTACAAAATCTGTTTACACTAACCGCTCCCTTGCCTCTAGACGCCTAAGTGGACTACTTAAACATACCACGGCTCCTTGATATTTAGCCTTCCAGAACATCGGGGTTCCATTTTTGTAAAAATATTCATTTATTTCATAATATCCAGTAATTGGTTTTTACCGTTCCATTTGCACTGTTCATCTTTAAAGATCAATCCACGTTAGTCAGTGAGATGTAAAGCTTTTCTGATGTTATGTGCTGCTGCTTAGCGCATGCGGTTGTTTTCACATGCTGCGTGAAAATGGACTGAGTTTGGTCCGTAACGTCATAGAATCCTGTGGTGCATCCGTTTCATATAGGGTCGTATAGAAGTGAGGTGCACTACTGAAGTAACGTTTGGAGTTTGTTGTTCTATATACTGTGAAGTAGATTGTATTGTTGCTATCCTGTTGAATATGAATGCTGAGGAACGTAATCAGGTCATTGATTCGGTGTGTTCCGTTTGTACACAAGCATGGCTGCGGAATCCCAGTAGGCTCTCCTGTTAATGCCGATTTTGCTGAAATCTATGCAAATCATCCAGAACAAATACTGTTCATTTCAATTCATACTTACGCTTTATTAAAGAAGCATGGTTGGCATCTTATTTCTGCACTGTGCATGATAATCCTAATCGTTATTATCCCCTGCTTGAATACTTATAGAACGAAGACCGTTACAATCACAAAAAATTCAATTCACAGCAGGGACATACTAACGAGGTGGAGCTTCTTGACGTTCCTATTAAACGAGACTCGAATGGTATCAAAATTAATACCATTCTTATGTTAGAGGAGAATTTTTCTCGTTATGTGGTGGATTGTGACATAGACGATGGGCGGTTCAATTTCTGATCTCTCGCAGAAATTTGTATGATAGGCTAAAATCTGACGACTGACACGGACTGAAGCCTCCTTCGGAAATTTTGCAAAAAAACGTAGCCATCTGTCCATAAAGTGATTAAAGAGCAATTCTCACACTTACAGGCTCCTTTTCTCCACAAAACATTGAGTTGGTCATTTAAGGAGAATATAATTCTAGTCGCGTATTTCTTGATATTTGGTAATTAACTGTGATAAATGTTGTGAAACTAGAGATAATGTAATCCGATTAACGTGCATAAATGTTTTGATTTTATTTTCATTTCCATGCTAATAATGAACGGGCAATTATCATTGCGTTCTTGCGTAGGGCTATTGGACTGACAGTGAATTTCTTAGACAAAGAGAGACATCAAACCCACTCTGTCATCGGATAATAAAACCAGGAGTCCTCAAGTTATGAGTTTTATATTTAAATCTAACGATACTGGGAAAGACGCTAGCTACAGAAATTGCCCTTACTTAATCCGTATTATTGTAAGAACTTGGTAAAAATCACAACGGTTGCCGAAACGCGAAAACGACAACATGTGTATTGACGATTCGACGGTTATAAACAACCGGAAACAGACCTATCGCCACACTCTGCTTCAGAGTAGGTTATCTTCGCGAATGCCTCGACACATCGGAACGAACTCTGGTGTCACTTCCAGGTCCTGAAATTGCAAGAATCACTACATGAATAATAGTCGTATAATATACAGTTATTTTTAATGGAATACACCAGGCGGCAGAATTGCTTCTCCAATCTTTAATAACTGGTACTTGAACGAGAATTTACTTCTGGAACAACGGGCGTATTATCCATACCATCCGGCGAGTGTCCTTGAGGAGAACCGATGCGCCATTGTACAGGACCACTATCCGATCGTTACACTGATTCCATTCGTTCAGAGATATTAATTCTTCCTGGTAAGGATAAGGGAGAAGAGATTATTTATGCCCCTGCTCTACTGAATGAAAATGTGGCTAAAGAATGTGGATAAAATAGATAAAAATCAATATCCGAGTGTCTATCTGAAACAGGCATATCAGTTAAAGAGAACGAGAGCAACACTTGTGGTTGTATCAACGCACAGATTCGTTCTGAAACCTGTTATATTTGATACCGCTATATAATGCAAAGTACAGGATATAACAAATTTGTATTAGACTACTGTTAAT